TTCTGATTGTCTGTAATGGTAAGGTCTAAGAAATTTATCTATTTCTCTATATCTGTTTCGAGTATGAACTGAATGTTGCTATTGAGATTATTCATGAACGTCATAAATTGGTTCAGCTTTCGTGTAGTACCTCTGAAACAGGCGAGAATATCGTCTACATATCTGTACCAAAAATGAATATGTTTTTTACCCAGGTCGGAATTTACTGTAGTGGTCTGCAAACTGTTCATAACTATGTCTGCCTCAGTCCACTTTTAACAGGCACTCAATCAAACCAAGTACCTCTATTATTACCTACAGGGATGCTATATAAGGGCTTATAAAATAAATCATTGTTAGTTTAATGTATAAGTTTGAAAATGCCCTTCTAGGATGAAACTACAGTAACGTTAGTCACAAATAAAAGTGGTAAAAAACATAGAAAGTTTCAATTCTCTTTTCTTCATTATGATTTCCTACCACGTAGTAACGGCAACATCCATCAATTCATTGAATAGAAAAAAGTGATTATCTTAAAATTCAATGTTCATATAAAAGTAGTTGTCTCTGCGGAGCTTTTTTCAGTTTGTATTGGATGGTAGAGTAGAAAGCCAAAACATTTTTTACAACTTTTTTGAATATGTCTGTTAATACATGCACGTTGGTTTGCTGACTTCTAACGTGGTCGTAGAGAAACCGATAATGCAGAACGCAGTAACAGCAGAAAACGAAAAAATCCACAAAATCGTTTTGAATTATCGAAAAGTGGAGTTGCGTGAGTAAGATATAAGATATCCAAAGAACGAGTTGGCTTGATATTGCATGAGCATTTGACTATGAGAAAGTTCTGTTCAAAGTGGGTGCCGCGCGAGCTTACTGTTGATCAAAAACAAGAACGTCTTGATGATTCTGACCAGTGCTTGGCCATGTTCAAACACAACCGGGTTTTTTTCGTCTATATGTAACGATGGATGAAACATGGATCCTCACTTCACTCCGGAATCAAAACGATCGTCATCTGAGTGGAGAGCACCTGGTAAACCTCGTCTGAAATAAAATCCTTTGGGCGCTCTTGGAGCGGCGCCTGAGCGAAAGTAGCGATTCACATTGAGTTTGATGATGAGCAGTGACATTCCGTCTGTAATTCTGATATTCATTTATTTATTATCGACACAAGCTATTACAGCCTAATTACTTACATGGATGAAAAAAATAAAAGTTTATATAATCCTTGGAATAGTTCTGACTGTATAAAAAAAAATATGTACCAGAACTGTAGAGGGAAATATTGCATAAATAGTTGAATTTAACATATTTTCCAAATTTTTTTTTCGGAACACTGATTGGGAAAGTGTCCAGTCAAGATCTATTGATATATTCCAACGATTCCAACTTTAGTAAAGACATTAGTGGTGCTTTCGTTGTGGTATTTACGGTTGGAATATTAAACATGAGCGAAAATCGGGTGCGACAAGGAAGTACGTGAAATGGTAACATACTGAGAATTTCTGAAGAATTTGTTATTCAAGAGTTTGTGCATGAATATCATTGCTGATAATTGGTGTCGCTGTTCTAAGGATAGTATTTTTAATTCACGTCGTAAATCCAAAGACCTTGTTGATTTTTAGTTTTGCCACTTGTGATATCGCTTAAAAAATCCATACCTCAAGAATTGTTCTGAATTCTCTCTAGTTCTTTCAAATAGTGAAGAAAAGAGAAATGAAACTTTCTATGTTTTTTACCACTTTTATTTGTAACTAACGTTACTACAGTTTCGTCCTATTCGGACATTTTCAAACTTATACAATAAACTGGTAAAAAACATAGAGAGTTTCATTTCTCTTTTCTTCATTATGATTCCCTACCACGTAGTAACGGCTCCATCTCCAATTTTGGTCTTACCAACGAAAAATGAAGTGATCTAATAATGTCTATATTAGAGAATGAAGAAGTTTGTTTTATTACAAAACCCAACATTCAACTGCCAGATTTCATAATATCTCGTATATGATCAACAAATGAGAATTGTGTATTATACCTCAATCCAAGATCTTTGGTATCAGTTTTTTTTTCAAGAACCACACCATCAATCTCATAACTGAATATGATTGGCTCCTTTCAGGTTATTGAGATAACTTCGATGTTCCAGAGTATCAAGGGAACCCAGCAGCCCCAGCAGCTTCAGGCTATGTTTGGGGGGGCGGAGCTCCATACATGAGAACAATACTCCAAAGAAAGTATGATTTGAGCTTTACGAAGCATCAAAAGTTACTGAACTTTTCGCTTTTCCAGCGACATAATTGTGCCAAGACATATTGTTGTCCCTTTTAAACCCCAACAAATTTATCGAAGCAGAAAGCGAAATTGTCTGACCTGACATTATTATATCCGTTTCGGGTATCGATATCAAGATATTCAATCTATTGCTGCCGGTGAAGATGTATATTCACATCCGATGTCCTGGAATCCAAATGTAATGACGAGACGAGTGTGCTGTCGTCAGCAATATGGCGACAATATGGATCTCTGGGGAACACCAGCGTTGATGGTGAAAGTTTTCGAGATATATCCATCGACGGCCACTTGCAGGGAACGTTCTTTCGCGGAGCCATACACAAAAATGATCCAACAAGCCATAGCATCGAAGTTTGGCCAGCAAACCCTCATACCACACACGGTCAAAGGCCTTAGATATATCAAGCGCAATAGCTCTTGACTCTCCATGTTTCTCGATTGCGTTATTCCGAATATAGAAGGTCGCCTATTGATCTTTGTTTCCGGAAGCCATATTTATGATCGTTCAAAATGTTGAAGCCTTCCAAATATTGAGGATATAGTGGTTTTTTGCTTTCTCCATGATTTTAGCAAAGCGACTGATAGCACTGATAGTTATTTGGAAGAGTGTTCTTGCCTTTTTTGGGGATAGGCTGAATGTGAGCAATCTTCCAACAAGAAGGGGAAACCCCTTTCTTGTAAGACAGGTTGAAAAGCCTGCAAAATACTGGTGCGAGTTCATTCGCGAACTTTTTAGGTACGATGACGGGCACTTCATCAGGACCATACGCCTTGTTGGTACTGAGAATATTATAGAGCATTATTGGAGCGTGTGAAGTCCGAAATTGCAAAGAAATAACCGCATATGGCAAAGAAAAAATGTTTTTTCATCAAGACAACCCACCGTGTCACAAGGCAATCAAAACAATGGCAAAACTACATGAATTTAACTCCGAATTTTACCCACATCCACCGTATTCGCCAGATTTGGCTCCCATCCACTACTTACTGTTCGGAGACATCAAAAAAACGCTCACCGGTAGAAATTTTGTTCGAATGAAGAGGTTACTGCTGAAATTGAGGCCTATTTTGAGGCAAAACCTAAATCTTTCTACAAAAGGCTGCCCTATTTGATGGACAAAAAACATTTTTCAAATCGAGATCTTTTTTTCAGATATTCGCAATGAACTGTAATTTCCAGATTTTGTTTGTTGAGTTTTGTTTTGTTCCATATTGATTATGATCGGGTATAAACCAGTTTTCAGTGTGACGTTTCGTTCATAGGATTCTACCATCATTTTTCTCCAACACTGATATCTAGTTTCTGCACGGAAAAACATCATCAGAGACAGGTCAGACAATTCCCGTCAGAGATTTCTCAAAAATAGAAACCAATATTCATCGTATTTAGAACTCGAAGACATATACAATGGAATTATATGGTGCATTATCGCTCAACACAACGCTTCTTAACGGCAAATTCGGAATCAACTGTTCCGACATCCATTCCTTATAACTATCAAAATTAATTTCGTTGCGATAACCACCTGTATTACAATTTGATTTCCATCTAATGCAAGCATTTGCCATAAACCCATTTTCATCACCCCCCTGTATAATGATCGGAACCTTGCCTTTACTAACATTTTTTTCCGATCTTCCATGGTATGATCTCCAACCTTTCTAGTGCTAGTAATGAATATGAATACAGAAAAATGTCACGAATTAGGAAACAAACCGTTATTTTAACACCTCGACACGTGTTGAAGATGATCACTTGGTGATCATCTGAAAAGGTGGTAAAATAACGGTTTGGTGTTGGAATAAAACTCCAGTCATATTTGTGGTCTTCTTTGGTTATAGTCTCCAGACGTTTCTAGTGTAACTGCGGAAATCATTTTCAGTGGCGTGGTGGAAGTACTCTTCTTGACGTGTCATCTGAAACTAAAGACGGTGTTAATTTTCTATCTTTACTTTTTTGAAAATTTCCCAATTCGGTTGGTGACACTTTCTACGTACGGCAGATAGACAGTGCCCTGAGGTTGATCTTCACTGGTGTTACTGGCGCTACGCGTCCAAGGGAGAAGAAGAGAAACACCAATGAAGATCAACCCCAAGGAACTGTCTGCCAAACATAGAAGGTGTCATCAACCGATTCGGGAAAATTCTAAAGGAGAAAATCAACACCGTTTTCAAACCAACGAAGAAAATATCGGAGTAACCGTGGTAAAGTCTATATCGGTCAGACGAAAAGACGCATTGGTATCCGCCTACTCGAGCGCAAGCGGAGTTGCCGATTGGAACAGACCGAGAAGTCTGCAGTCACTGTAGTCTGGTTCACATGTACTCGATTTGGCTCTTTTTGGTGACATTTTTCAGCCCTGTCCAAAAATTACGAACAAGGTGTCATTCGATTCGTATTTTTGCCGAGAAAGTTTAAGGAAAGGTCCGAAAACGCGCCGATAAAAATCACAAAAGTTATAAACAATTGAGTGAAAAAAAAATGGGGCTTTAGTTTTTTCTTAATATCTCGGAAAATTTTCAAAATTTTGGAAATTTCAAAAAAGATTTGAAAAGTCCCGACTCCCGAAACATCCTTAAACTTTCTAGGCAAAAATACGAATCGAATGACACCTTGGTCGTAATTTTTGGACAGGGCTGAAAAATGTTACAAAAAACTAGACTACTGAACATGCACAAGATCCTGTTCGAAAATACCGAGGGGCTAATACTACAAAAACACAAAGTTCGGTTTATATTTTTATCAGTGTATTTGGTGTTTGAAGCTGAACATTCAACTTTTGTGTGACTTTTTTATCCTGAGAGCCCTTTTAGAATTGAAAAATGCCTCGTCTTCTTCCTGCGAATCATCTTCTGAAGGCTCCTCTTTGTTCGGATCACTTCCTGGTGAACCTTTACGGGTTTTGTATCGGATGAAGTAAACTTCCGGTGATTGTGTAGTAGCAGGGGAAATTTGAATTTCCGGTTCTTCAGGTTTCTTTACTAGAACGTAAATTATGGTTTTCTCTTGTCTTGGAGGGGTAACAACAATTTTTGTCTTGGGTGGCGATGGTGCTTTGATGAAAATGATTTTGGTGCGAACAGGAGGTGGTGGTATTGGCTTAATTTCGGGAGTTTTAGGTTCCTCTTGAGCCACAAAGAAGTGATACTGCTTCTGGTTGTCATCTTTGATCCCATGGTATAAAGGATCAAGGGAAATTTTCTCTGGGCCTCCTACAGGTTTACCAGTGCTCGATGGAGGAATCTTCTCATCAGGGAAGGAATGATCAACTGAAAAATCCACATTTTCTCCAAAGGATTGACTATTATGGAGTCCGATGATAGAATTTGGCTCTAATTCTAGGAAAGGAAATGGCACAGAGGTCAGTTGTGGATAAATCACTCCCGGGTCCAATGGGTAGTCATATATTTGACCCAAAACAGCGCCAATGAGTGCCAATGTGAATGACGCCAGCTGAAAAATTACGGATTCCAAGTACCTGAGTATTCTTTCATATAATATCTATATAAAATTGCAATTAGGGTAAATCAGGTATTGCGATTGCAATCGGAGACAAAAAATGAGAACTCTTTTTCATATTCTAACTTTCCAGATTCAATTGGACCTTCTTCAGGAACTCTGTGGTACAATATGGTGTATACATAACATCACAACTAGAATATTGGTACTCCAGAAACTTGAATGTGAAGTTTGCAGATAATTATGTTTTGCTTGATACCGAATGATGTAAATAAGAACACACTTGAAAATTTAAACACATGAAAAGATTTTCAACATTATAGATAACTCTAGATCAGTAATAGAAAAAACATTTTGACAAATGTCTTGAAGGACATGTCGCAGCCAACTGTCAATTGTCATTAAAATGTGAAATGTAATGCGTTCATGGAGCATGGAAGTATGATTCAAGAAATGTCATACAAATTGAATTCCTGTATCCACAGTACTTCAAAGAAGAATGTCAGCATTTGGTAGATCTTTCACCAAATGTAACACTGATTAGGAGGGAGATTTGAAATATTAAAAAACATTGTCAATGAAATTTATAATGTATGTAACCAAAAGAAAATTGTTGAATGAAAAGTAGTGATTTACATAATAACAATGTGAGGAATTATAGAAAATAAATCAAATGAAATTTGATTATGTATATCTCACTGATTCTAACATTTATTATTTTTGTCTGTGTAAGGTAGGTAAAGATGTCGAAACCTATAATGTCTAGGAGGGACATAGGAAGGAATAGAAACATAATTTATCTGCAAGCCTCAGATTTATAATCTCAACTATCTCTAGTACCAATTCACGAGTTGTAATGTTATTATTTATACACCATACAGTTCCAATGAAAGTTTCGAAAGCTAGAACAGAAAAAAGAGTTCTGATTTTCTTGCCTCTGACTGAAATAACTGATCATACCTAATCGCGGATCTCAACTTAGCCAGCCTTACTAACTTCTCTCCCTCTCTCTCATTTGCAACTGATTTGCAACCACCACGTATTTATCAGAAATTGCTTTCTTGCTGGTTAACAACTCACTAATTGACATTCGGTGCTTGTAGCAAAAAAAACACTTTTTCTGCTATATTTTCTTGACAAGTGATGAAGAAGTGATGAATGTTGGCTCATTATTATGCTTACAATGGTATTTTTAACTTCGGAATGAATATATAAATTATGAAAACAATAAGTTCGCTAATATAACAGCACAGTAGTTTAATTGCAAAAAATTTGTCGAAGAATATTAAACGGAAATATATTACACAACTCGAAGCCAAATTTAGGAAATCTGTATAGTATCGGTAAAAAATGAAAAAAACTCGCAAACGAAGTTTAGAAACGAAGCTATGAGAGCTAGGTCAATATGGATACAACTTCAAGTGCCAACCAATTATTCATTTACATACAGAAAAACATTACATCATAAGCTCTCTTATCAATTGTCTTGACCAGTTGAACTATTCAGTATATGCAGTAGATGGTACTGACATTACATGTTCTGGAAGAGCATTCCAATTGGAAATATTGTGTACACTGAGAAAAAAATAGTCCTTGAGTTTGAAAAAATATCACAAATTATGCAGTTCATTCATTCAGTGACCTCTCGACAAGTTGATGCGACAAGTAGCTATGGGGATGAAGCGAATATAACAACTACATATCTTGTATTCACAACTCCACGAGTTCCGTTGATACAAAGTCATGATTTTTTGAATGATTTTCAAATTGACCAAAACTCTTTTTGATAAACAGAAGTACTCAACTATGTTCAGTCTACATAACGCTATGATCAAACATGAACAGAGACACAAAAAATAAACGACTATAATTAAAAATTAACAGGAATCTTCAATGCTGATGTGTTGCAGAGCCAAGCTTCAACATCGACCCCCCCCATTGAAAAATTGCTTATTGTCTCTTTGTAGCACTACAATCAGCCAAAAGTGTAACATCCATGATCCAATAACAGGTAGCGCTGTTTTGACCTACCATGGATCAATGGTACTAGGCTGGATCAAGCATGCAACATTTGTAATCTTCTATACTTAACGGGAACACTGCTCTAGTACAAGAAGTTGATTCGCTTTATATCAGAAGAATGGGGATAATGGACTCGATTCTTGTTGGGTTTTAACAACCCATTTTTTTGTGAAAGCCAGAGTGTCATCATGCTCGAGATGAATTGATGTTGACTTTTACATGTTTAGGTTTAGGTTACATGGGGTTTTTCGTTAATCAGTTGGACTCTTGTAGCTGTACAATATGAATTTGCGCGAGACGAGGATTGAATGGGTCTTACTTTGTAATGTGAGATTTTTACTACTTATATTTCAAACATTTCCACCGGAAGACTTTTTTACATTACATTACATTTACATTCTCAGAAATTACGCCAAATGGCGTTGCAAATTAGCATGGTACAATGCGATTCTGAATATTTCAAAATATTTCCCGTTTTGCATTCATACCTCAGGCACTCGTAATGATTGGAATTTTATACTACAATCAGAAAAAAACAGAATGATTTTGAAAGTTGTCAAATTTTGACAGTGTGCTATGTGGAAAAATTGACGATCTAGTATTTGACGTATTTACTCAATGCGGAAGAATTAACGTTTTGTCTGTAATCGCTTTTGTAAGAAGTGATGCGACTATCAAGAGGCCTGGAAGTTCACCTTAACCTTATATACGTGGGCTGCCAAAAAATTAAATTTTCGCCGTTTAGGTACATTCGATTACCGATTTTTTTTTTGTTGGTATACTCGTCTCGACCATACAGTGTGTAAAAGCCAAATGAAATAAATTCATTATTTCGGTTACGGTACATATTTTAGCAAAATGCCGAAACACGTCAAATTTAAATTATAATTTGACATAAATCAACGGAAAAACGCTACCACAACCTTCAACCTCCGTCGAAACAACCCCAAATTTTTTGAATGGGAAGTATAGGTTTCTTCGTTCTCTATTCAAAAATGTTACCGCTTTCAAGTGTATTGCAACAATTCAGATGAAATAAATTAATCATGTCGTTACCGAAATTCGATAAAATACACTTGAAACTTATTGCAATATACTCAAAACTTATTTCATGTTGGGGTATTAATAATGAGGAAGTAAGCAGAAACCATAGCAATGTTCTTTTTATATGGTAATCCTTTAAAAAACTGTAAATAATTTCCGCGATACCGTTAGTTTAAAACGCCTTATCAACTTGTTTTGTATTTTACAACATTACCATTCAGTATTTAAATTTAAGTTTAAAGTTCGTTAACTTCAAGTCTGACAAATGGTTAGATTAACGACAATGCATAAAAAATTGTTTTAGAAATGATTGGTTACGGAGATAAAACCTGAACATAACATGAAGTAGCTCGTTTATTTTATGAAAAATTTACTAATTTACTGCCCATATCTCAAGGAACAATAAGCAAAATAGAGAAGCAGTTTCGCGAGCTTAGTCGTGTGGAGTAGATAAAAAAAGCAGCTGCCAATACAATGAGTGAGAAACTCAAATTAGATGTGATGCTTGAGTTTGAGGAAAACTCACATACATCGAGTAGACAGGCATACACTACAGTCATACACTACAGTCAATGTTAGCCATACATCGATATTAATCATATTTAAAGAAAATAAAACGCATCCCTACAAAATGATACATACTCAGGAGCTCATGGAAGACGATTTTGATAAAAGAACTGATTTTTATGAGCAAATGATGTTGGATAACAATATCATCCAATTAGAAGACGTTATGTCTTCTGATGAGTGTACTGATGAGCTACTGGTCAACAGAAAATCCTCACTGGATGAGAAAAGAGCACAATCAATACCCTCAAAAGGTTGAAGTTTGGGAAGGAATTGTAGGAAACCATATCATTGGTCCCTTTTTCATTGAGGGCAATTTGAATGGCGATAATTATTTGGCATTACTTCAAAATGATGTCATTCCAAGTTTAGCAAATTTATATCCTGATCAAGGAAACCTTCAAGTTCCAGTGAATACGATGTGGTTTCACCAGGATGGCGCACCACCACATTACCAAGTTAATGTCCTGCAATACCTCGATAGAACATTTCCCAATTCGTGGATAGGGAAGCGAGGATCGATTGAATGGCCAGCGCGATCATCTGATCTTTCATCATCAGTTTTCTTTTTATGGGGATATGTAAAGAGCAATGTGTACAAAACTAAACTTTCAGATTTGAATGACTTCAAAGGACGAATAAAGCTTGCGATGAGGTAGGTCACGCCTGATATGTTAAATACTGTTAGAAGACAGTTTCATTTGAGATTAGGATATTGCAAAGACGTTCGTGGTGAACATTTTGAACATCTACTTCGTTAACATCCACAGTTCTTTTTCGTATTCAACATTTCATTACGTTTTGCATTACATTTCAGTTTTTGAGTGTATTTCATAAAATTTCTGTAACCACATGATACTAATTTATTTTATCTTAATTGAATAGAGAATGAGACCTTTCAAACGATGTAACACAAGCCTATACTTTCTATTTGAAAAACTGGAGGTTGTAATTGTCATTCGAAGGGGTAAGGTAGAGGTGGCATTTTTACGTCAAACAATGTAAAATTATGATCTATATTTGACGTGTTTCGAGATTTTTTGTCCAGTAACCGATATAATGAATTTATTTCATTTGGCTCCAACTTTATATTTACTTTAGTGTATATTCACAGTTTTAGCTGTTTAGCGTATTTAATTTGTTGGTGAGAGGCATAAAAGTCACAAGAATTTTGCGTGTTCGGCGATTTTCTGCCATAGAACAGATAGATCAACGAATATGCATCAAATTTTGTGTAAAAAATGGAGTTAGGAGCTCAAAAGCACTCGAGATGTTGACAGTGGCATACGGTGATAGTACTCTGAGTCTGAAATATGTTTACAAGTGGTACAAGCTTTCTACAATAGGCAGGTAGGCCCTGGATGCCTCAGCACATCAACAACCGATGATAATGTTGAGGAAGTGGAGTAAATTGTTATGGAGAATTTTGACCAAAAAAAGCGTCGCATGAGCATCGCCCAGAAATTGTTGAATGACGTCAACAACGGCCATCCAGATTTGCTTAAAAGGGTCATAACTGGTGACAAATCATAGGTGTACGATTTTGACATCGAAGCCGAAGTCCAATCGTCCCAATAGGTTTTGCTCACTGTTTTCATCGATTACCGTGGCGAAGTGCATCAGGGGTTCTTGACACTTGATCGTACGGTCGATAAGAAGTTTTATCTTTAAGTTATACGCCTCTTGCCACAAGCAATATGAAGAAAACGGTATTGTCGAAAAACAATTAATGGTTCTTGTATCACGATAATGCACCTGCTCATTTTCCATTGCTTGTTCATAATTTTTTGTTCAAAAACAACACTCTAATTATGCCTCAGCCACCTTATTAACCAGATTTGCCCCCCTGCGACTTTTTCCTGTTCCCAAGATTGAAGAGACCCATGAAAGTACGGCGTTTTGCGGAGATTGAGGAGATGAAAACACACCTAAAATTTCATATCAGAACTGTTTCAAAGATTTAAAAAATGCTGGCACAAGTGTGTTATATCTGAGGAAAACTACTTTGAAGGTGACAAAATAGAAATTGATAAATAAATGAATATTTTTTGAGAAAATGAAAATTCACATAATTTTATGTGCATATCCATACATGAAATCTTGTATTTTGAGTATGATATTTGTTCATTCAAAATTGGAGTTTTGACTTCATAATTCAGATATAGTTTTTCACATATTTCTTCCGAGTGAATTAATTTTGGATTTAATTCTAGAAAACGGAGGACCTGAAAATTGATTTTGAGTACAAATACATTTTGTAGGGGGAAAACCAATACGAGGGTAAATAAAAGAAACTTTTTACAAATTATGACACACATTGATGCACTGAGAAATAAAAACTGAACAATCTTATTACCAAATTCATACATTTCAACTTCAATATATGAAAATAAAAAGATCACAAGACACTGTTAAAATCTGGCTACTTTGGGTATTATCTTTTTTATTGTGCCTTCATTGAGTGCTCAAAAAAATAATTTCCCAAAACGAGTCATTTCTGATTTGCCATAAATTCCGGTTCACTTCGACTTTCAATATTTTCAACAAATGGAAACTGTTCTCAGTTCTGTTATTCAGGGTTCTCACTTACCACTTGTCACTTTTTTGTCTAAGAGAACTTGTCTATCCTCACACAAAATACAAAAGTCGAAACAAAAAACAATGTTTTCAAAGTTTCCCAACTGATGAAATCAAATTCTGAATCACATTTGCACCACCTCATTCAACTATTACGATAATAATAAGTACTCACAGCTCGTAAATTCATCCTGAAACTGATGATCTCGAATCTGATGAATGATTGAATTCTGTTTTTCAAGAAATTTATTCAAAGCAGTTGATGATGTTTTTATAGTGCATAATATCCCACTTTAAAATTCATCTACTTTAAATATTTGTCGATGGAAGAATTTGGTCTCAAAGAAGAAAACATTCAAATCAACTGCATGAAATATGAAATATTCATATTACAACTCTGAATGTCATTGGTGTCATCATAGATCAACTGGCTCAGGTCACATGAGTAGCAGAGTACAATGTTTCAAAAAAAATTCAAGGCAATTTCCAGAAGAATAGACATTGATACATTATCTCAAAAAAATGTATAATGAACTGAATCTATCTCTTTTTAATTTCGTTGATAATTCACTATATTATTTATTTGTGAAATATCGAGTGCAACAGATCTTGATTCTCCATGTTTCTCGATTTCGTTATTCCAAATATGTGTGACCTGTTGATCTTTGTTTTCGAAAGCCATATTGATGATCGCTCAAGATGTTGAAGTCTTCCAAATATTTGAGGATATGTTGGTTTACGACTTTCTCCATGACTTTTGATAACACTGATAACAAAGCGACTGGTATATAGTTATTTGGAAAACTTTTCTTGCCCTTTTTGGAAATAGGCTGAACTCGAGCAATCTTTCAACAAGAACTAAAAACCTCTTTCTTATAAGACAGTTCACTAACAACTTGGACGTTGTTTAATAAAAGCCAAGTGCTTCTGAAGCCGCTTGGCTATGAAAAACTGATTGATTCACCAACTATCTGTTCTTAGTATTCCTTGCTTTATGAGGGTCCAATCTTATCTACTTGTGATTAGTTTAGGTTCGTAGATGACGGTTGGAAAGCATTAGCTCCAATACCATTCCAGAATGCTGTGATATTCAATGTCCGCCATTTGTCTGCCAAGCACCGCATATACAGCGTGGCTCACGGTCGATGGTAGGTTAGACGTTTCTGGAAAACACAAAGCATTATTTTTCTGAAAATTTCACCTCTTACATTTCCTTAGCTGTTCTATCGATCTAAAATATTTTCAGCATTGCGACGTTGCCACTTCCATAAAAAAGTCCTAGCAACTTTATGTTTTTAAATGGAACACCCCATATATCAATACATTTTTAGAATCGCTCTGGTATTTTAATACTTTTTTGTTGATAATGTCCTATACCTATCTCTATCTGTTTTAGAGATAAAAAATAAACTGTGTTAAATATGGTCCAAAACATAGCCTTAATTAAAATTAAGTACATCAGTACTCTCAATTCATAAAAAGTTGATATTTTGATAATAGTTTGGACAAACTCGAAATATTCAAATAACACCAAGAAATCGACTCCATATCATACAGGGCGTGCAAAAATTACTATTATTTCCATTGTGCATGAAAGTAGTTAAAAGTTCATTTTTTCAAATGAAACCCCTTGTATATTAATCGGTAAATTGAAAGATGGTGAAAAATGCTTCAAGATGATATATCATGTCCCTATACCTAAATCGTCAAGTTTTCTCAATAAAGTCGCATCTTCTAGAAACATTTCTTTTTTACAATTTGGATTTAGGTAGCAGTGGAATTATCAAGCTTATAGCAGTTTGGTTACTTTTATAAGTAATTGATGAATGGTTATTGACGGTGTTTCAAAAAATCGCCAAAAATGAATGCAAATATTGATTATTCAAACGAAGTTCTTATGAAATTATTTATTATACACATGAACAATGAATTGAGAGTACTGATGTACTTAATTTCAATTAAGGCTATGTTTTGGACCATATTTAGCACAATTTATTTTTTATCTCGAAAACAGATAGAGATAGATATAGGACATTAATAACAAAAAAGTATCAAAATACCAGAGCAATTCCAAAAATGTATCAATATTCAAAAAAATAAAGTTGCTAGGACTTTTTGATGGAAGTGGCAACGCCGCAATGCTGAAAATATTTTAGATCGATAGAACAGGTAAGGAAATGTGAGAGGTGAAATTTTCAGAAAAATCATGCTTTGCGTTTTCCAGAAACGTCTAACCTACCATCGACCGTGAGTCACGCTGTATTGTTTTATGCAATTGGCAACATGCACAATTCGTGTAAAGTATCTCTTTCCAAAAGAGTTGTGGAGAGGAGGTATGTTTACAAAAAGGTGGGATACTGATGCTATTGGTCAGAGCCAGAGTTGCTTGCTGAAAAGCTCTTGGCCACCATACTATTGCTCCAATGGACTTGTTTGGAACCTAAGCCTCAAGATTTCCCACAAATCCTTCGACATGTCCATTGGAACAGTCTATCTTTATGTAAAATATTTTCCAAGTGAGTTTCTCATGAAGGATAATACCTACGTATGTCATCTTCACTGCAAATAAAAAACATCATCCAGATTCCTTTTACTGGTAAAGGAGACTATCACAGTTTTGCTAGGATTTACAAACATCAGCTTTCTCTGGAACCAGCTATAAACTCGATTAGTGTTCTTTGTGAGATATTATAGACAACCCTCTCGACGTGTCTTCGCCAGGAAGACCAAGTCATCTGCATATACTTTTGGATCTACTTCTTTCTGTCAAGGACATCAAGCAGACTATCCATCAGCAGTTACTCTATCTTGGAGAGTTTTAGTTGCTGTTCTTTTCACGGGCATCGCGTAGATTCAGCCAGTAATGTAATTTGTAAACTATATTAGTGAGATCGAAGTACTACCTAGGCACAGTTGGTGCCTGAGGGAGCAGAGTCAACCCCAGCAAAACTGTGATAATCCCCTTCACAATGAGGAGAAAATTGGACAATCTAACGCCACTTTCCCTCAATGGTGAGGTCATTCCATTTGGAACGGAGGTGAAATATCTTGGCATTGTCCTTGATGAAAAAACTCACCTGGAACGCTCACTTGAAAAAAGTGAGCGTTTCAGAAAGCCAAACTGTCCCTGCATACTGCATACAGACTTGTGCACATATAGACTTCCTGCCTCCAAATGTCAACTACAAACTGCCTTATTGGAAAGATCCAGCCTCATACACAAGTTAGTTACTTCAGTGGTGAATTCAATCCTAGAGTTTCAAGTAACTTGGTCGGTCGGCAGCCGGGCGGTTCGACGTGGGTGCTTTGTTCACTCAGTCAATCGGCCGATGTGTGTGTCGATGGTTCAAGCCCCAGGCTGAACGTTTGATTTTCACTTGCTACTCCAACCCGTGTTAGGAATCACACGTTAAAAGGTAAGACCTCGTTAGTCCTTAGCTCGCAGAAGTTTCGACTTCTGAGGCTTGTCGTTCATAGGGGTGCGATACCTGGTTAACGGAAAATCATATTTTAAACATATTTTTTTGAGTTCATCCACTGGGCAAGAGACAACGTGAAAAAATCAGAACTGTTGAGTTCGAAGAGAGAATTTTGATATCAGTCCAATACCAAAACTTGTTCGGATCAATATTTGCATCTGAAAAAGAAAAGATGTACAACGTCATTTTGTATGATGAAATATATGAAGGTAACATTCGTTTCAGTGAACAAATAACTGGTAGTGAGGCGTAGTTTCAAACGGATGATTAGTTTAAATCGTAATTATAGAGGGCATCTTCGAACATTCGGGTCAATGTTACAAATTATGATATAACATTTTGTGTCAATAATTTTAAACACACCATCAAAACACATTCTAAGAATTGAAATATAATGTGCTAGACAAACAATCTTCTTTCATTAACCTTGCAGAAATTGTCTATTCATTAAATTCGTCTTTTGAACTAACTAACCACTCAGACGTGATTGAAAGTTTTTGAATAAAGATTTAATGCATTTAAATTAGCGACTACTCTCTGACAATTTAATTAAATATTCTTTCGGTGAGTACCCGTGAATTCGGTAGAACCACATATATCCCTAGGTTAATATTCTGAATATTCAAGATATTTCATCAAGGAGAACTTTTTAATGAGCACTTTCATGAGAACTTTCTTTTGTTATGTTATGTCAAGGTTTTGAACCAAGGATTCTGATTTTCATCACCAATAGTGATATTTGTCTTTCTTTTTATTCTTTATAGATGTTGGTTTCAGGTCAGTCTGGAATCTAGTATAACTTTCGTGTATTTGACCTCCCCGACAGATGTTCCTCTTCACCTTGGAGTTTTAGGGATCGTAGGATATTAGGATATCTGATTTGGTTCCCTTGATGAATGCTACCATGGTACATTATATTGGGCTTGTGCTGAGTCTTTCCTTATTGATTCATCGACTTATACATTTTTAGGGTCTGCTTCGTGTGTCCCTTCACTATATTATTATACAATGCATTCCATTTAAAATGAGCCACCCTGAATAACTTTTGGTACAATGATCTGCAGGAAAAATAAAAAATCACGTCAACCATAGTATACAGAGAGACACATTTTGACATATTCACATTTGATCTAACTTTCCCTATCGCACCCCCAGAGCGTATCATAATTTTTTTAAATGGATCAATTGTTTTGCATTATCAGATGTTCCGTGATGAACAGATTTCAACAAAGTAGAATACATTATGGTCTGAAGCTCAATTATTTGAGTTGAAAATGAGCCACCGTGAATAAACAATCTGTTACCTTGGTTTCATAGGTGTTTTTGTGAAGTATACTTAAAAAAAAGTCTTATTTTGCCTAGTTGAGTTTGAATTCTATATTCTCTTCATTTTATATTTGTCTCGTTCTTCAATAACGATTACCTACCAGGTGAAATTGGTGTTTCTATTTTTGTGAATTCTTGAGAAGCAATGCTTTATACGCTTCGAGAACGGATTGAAATAGTGATTTTGTGCTACCAGAATGGAAAGAGTGCTACAGCTGCTGTCCGTATGTTCAATGATAAACATCCAGGAAGAAATGTACGTCACAGATACGTTTCGGAATTATTGAACAAATTTATGGACACTGGATCTGTTAAAAAGCATAACCGTTCAGGAGTTGTCAACGATGAAGTTATTTGTACTGCAGTTTTAGGGCACGTTGGACTAATGGAAAATTCGCAATCTCATACCAAGTTATTTCGAGAATCAGCAATCA